CATTCCATAGCATTGCGTATGCTAGGCCGTATATTAGCGCATTGTGTATGCCATGTTTCCTCGTGCATCATGTATGCCATTTCATAGCCTTTCGCATGTTAGGTTGTATCTTAGTTGCATTTCATGCATATCATGCATATTGCATCGTGTTCGGGATAGGAGTTAGCCTGGGCACGGGAAACGAGGTACATTCCGTACTTCGAGTGACGGAACGTGTCTCAATTCCCCAGTCGCCGACACTCCGATTTTCATATGCATTCATTTCATATTGAGTTATGCAATTTGACTCCTCGGCCATCATGCATCGATATGCGTGATTGGTGGCATGAGGATCGAGACATGCATACATTTGTGAAGATACATTGCCATGCCCTTTTCTTGCTCTCTGTTGCAGCAAAATGAAGAATCAGCAACTTTTTGGAGCTTGGCACGCATTTTAAGAATAGGTGCAAACAGAGGCTAATTGGGGCATCGTCGTGGATTTCCACACAAAGGCAACCCGAATATGCATCATTCATCACCTGGAGCAGAATCAAGGCAGTCCCTGGCTTGCATGCCAGTTTTTATAGCTTTCTTAGTTAATTTGTTAATTAATTAGGAATTTGTACATTATTTGGACTGTATTATTTATTTGGACTGTACTATTCTTTTATTCGGGACTGTATATTTATTCAGACCCTCTGCGCGAGGGCAGTGTTGCAATAAGTGTGTGTGAGTGTGATGTATGTCTTCCAACCCCACGTCTTTCTTCCCTTTTATTTACCTGCTTATGATGGTTAGATTAGGGCATATTTCAATTAGCATACAGTATGATAGCATATTGGCATTCATTCATCTGTTTTACATGCACCGGGCTCGGCGCATCATACTAACTGCATTTGTATTTCAATTCAAAGCTGAATACATGTTAGCTGTAGCATTCCATATGCCATGTTTAGAATAGCCGAGCCTGCTATAGTTGCATTTTTACATGTGTTGCATTATGCATTTCTGTATAATTAGGATCATGCATGATTTCTAATGTAGTTTCTGTTTTGGCTTGGAGTACTCGGTGAGTTTTATGCTTTAGCATCCTTGCATGCGTGTGAGTGACTGCCATGAATAGCATGCTTACCATGAGGCTATATGCTTATGTGATATAACTGCCTGAATGCCTGTGGGTGAAGGTTGGGTTACTTAGAGAGAGATTTCTCCGCTAAAGTCACCATTGAGGAAGGCATTTTTTTACATCAAAGTTGGTGAAGTGACCAATCGAAAGATTAGCTGCCAAAGGATAAAAGTACAACAAACAGTGTTGAGCCTTGGCAACCGGAGCAAAAGGTTTCTTGATAGTCAATGCCATTGGATTGGGTAGAATCCTTGGCAACCAACCCGGAGCTTTATAACGTTCGCACAATTAACCATCTGCCTTGCTGTTTTTACTGTGAAATTCCATTTACATTATCCAACGGGTTTCTTACCTCTTGGAGATCAGTAATTTCCCGCAAGGTACCATTCGTTTCCAGAGCCTGTCCTGAACTTCCTCAATGACGCTTGCCTCCACCTGAGGAGACTTAAGGCTTCCTGAATATTCCGAGGAATGTGTATCGTCCGTGATGCTAGAAGTGAAGGCACGGAACGAAGGTGATAGAGTTATCATAAGAAATAAGTTCCCAATGGGATGCTGAGTACATTGATCTAACTCCTTTTCTCAGCTATGGGCCATATTAAGAAAATACTGTTTTCTGAACTCAGAATCAAACAGTACTATCTTGTGGTAGAAAAAGATTGTTCCTGGAATGTTGCTTGATTAGAACCCGGTTCAAGCCTCTGGGATGTTGAGAAGTGCTCCTTCCTCCATTTCCTCTTGGAATGTGTTGATTATTCCCGCAAGGCAACAATGAACTCGAAATTTTCGGCAGGTACAGCATGGATTCAATGACTGCAGTGAGGTTGTGGGATTTTTGGTGGTGATGGAATGGCTCACTAAATGACTCAGGGGTCCAAAATTGATATTCCTGGGTTGGAAGTCTCCCCCTGAATATCAATTTTAGGGTAGTAAGACTGGTTTCAAAAAAATGTTGGACATCCCCATGGAAATGTGTAAGAATTTCCTAGTGACCGGAGAGTAACACTTATACACTCTTCTGATGTGACGAATACCCAATGAAGACACACTTGAAGCGACGCGAGGATCAGAGTTTACCGTCGAATACCTGTTTGATGGAACAATGAACAAAGACAGAACCCCGAAATTTTGGGTGGGATGGTGGAGATGAGGCGAGTAGTGGGAAAGGATTTTAGGAGAAGTTGACAAGGAGCTTTGGAATTGTAAGTAACCTTAGGATGGCTCCTATTGATAAGGTTGGCAGCTTGTAAGAACAGCTTCCCCCCAGAAGAATTGTGGAACATTTTGTGGAAAAACAGGACTCATGAGTGATCTAGCAACATCTAACAAATGCCGAATTTTTCCGTTCAGCGATGCCGTTTTGTTGTGGGGTGTCAACGACATGAACTTAATGTGAACTATCGCTCTGTTTGTCTGCTAAAAAATCTCTCTAGAATGCAGTTGAATATAGGTCGCGTCCGAGCGTTATCAGACTCTAGAATTTGGATTTTTGACTGGATATATGTGCTTCGTGAACATAATATTGGAAAATTGTTTGGAAGATTTGGCTCGTTCTAGATTTGTCTTTTCATGAGGAAGACCCAGGTTAATCTACGTGTTGAAACTCAATCTATTGAATTGTGAAAAAAAAACAAACCACCTAGTACCAGTTACATTTTTTATTCTGGATTGGACCCCAGGATATTACATGAATATGTGGAATGGACGAGACGCTTAGGATGAATGGTAAATGGGACGCCAGTAACATGCTTAGAAAAATTGACAGACTGATTTCACAATCAATCCATGGTTTTTGGATTTTTATTTAAAATTAATTGAAGGATTATAAAATGCCTTGAGATACATAACATTAGGATGACCGTAAAGCGATAGTGCCACAACATAATTCGGCTCTAATCGTTATTTTGACACGAAACCCGACAAAAGAAACTACCACACCAAATTGCCGTTTGAGTGTTGTTCTTGTGGATAGTGGCGTTTCTTAAGGATGTAGAGTCCAGAGCATTCCTTCAGCATTGCAATCATCTTCCCCTGAAATCCAAATCCTGAAATTCACAGTGGAGTGGAGAGAAAATTAGTAACACACCTCTTTTCTCCTTAGTGAGTTTACTAATTGACAATAAATTCACAGTCCAAGTTCAGGAGAAAGGAGAACAGAGTTCGAAATAAGATTCTAGACAGCACCAACTGAACCTGTACGGCAACCTTGTGTAGTGAACCATCTGCTATTCCCGGGACCGTTAAATTATTCTTGACATGATTTATATTATCAAAATCGTTGGCATCTCCCCGTCATACAATGATCAGATGCTCCTGAGTCCACATCCAAAGGTTTTTTTACGTTTCTTCTTACTAACACGTAAAGGCGTTCAAAAGAATCTACCTTTGGAGCCAAGGTTCCGGATCCTATGATGTGGTTGGAAGAACGAACCAGATTGTGACTGTAGTAGTTTCTGGGCATCTCCATTTGCCCTTGGTGAAAGGGTCTTTTGCCTCAGGTTGTGGTGATGGCTTCATTTGTACCTACATGATTAACTCGTCCTTCTTCTACAAGGAAGGTCTGACGTGGGTTTCCAATCTACTGGCTTTTCCATGAATCTTCCACAGCCAAGTTTCTCATCGAGTGACCCCGGCTTTCTGCAATGATCACACCAAAGGCCTACCTCCTTATTTTTCTGACGGTTGTGATAAGGAGCGAATTGAGTCTAGAGCCGAGCTTTCTGCCATATTCAGTTGTTGATGAGATCCCATCATGAGTTTTTTTCCGACTTCTTCGCGACGGACTTAAGAGAATGCCTCTCTAAGGTTAGGGAGCGGTTTTTACTCCCATAATTCTTCACTCTGATTTTATCAAGATTTGTGTTCAATCCTAACAAGAATTTAAACACACGCTTCCCTTCGACATCTTTCTTTATAACACCATCAGTAACACACGCCAGTTATGAACCTCAAACGTATCAAGTTGACCGATAGCGACGAGTAAGGGTATTGAAATATTCAGTTACCGTAAGATTGTCTTGACGTAAATTGTGGAGGGAGCTTTCAAGCTGGATGATTTCGATGTGTTTTCCTTGTCTGAAAACGTTTCTTTTGCCATGTCCCAGATCTTCTTTGGCAGTATCAAATGACAGAAAATTTTCGCCCAATGTCAGTGGTCATAGAGTTGACGAGCCACGACATGACCATATTATTTTCAGCTATCCACCTTTTGTAGGTTGATGCTGTGGTTTCTGGTAGCGCCGAGGCTCGCGGTGATGTAGTCATCTTTCTCCTTTCCCCGTATAAACATTAACATGGATTGGAGACCATTGCAATATTTTGCATCTAGTTTATGGGCACGTGATCGGATGAGAGGTTTCCATTTGATGAGAGGATGAAGAGATGAGATGATAATATCAGAGAAGAGGAGGATAGAGTTGATAGTCATTCCGAAAGCTGGACCATATTTAGTCATGCAATAGAAGGATATATTTGAGTAAAAGAGAAAAATTCGAATATTGACTGAAGAGGCGAAAATGACGAGACAGGATTACACCTGCTCTGATACCATGAGAAATATTAATATTAGAGAGAGAGAGAGAGTGATTGAAAGACTAAACATAGACTTTTTATTTCAATGTATTAAGCCTTACAATGCTACTCCATTATATAAGAAGGTTTATACAATATGATCAAGATGG